ACTTTGGCTACGGAAGGATAGGAAAAACATCAATCCAGATCGGCATAAGGTTGTGGTTAAACACAGTGAACATAATCATAGGCCTACACCACAAACCCTTTTGGTTAAACTACGGCAAGAAGAGAGGAAGGAAAAGGAAGAGCGACTCCTTGATTACTTCCTTCAAGGCCAGAAAACTATGGGGATTTGGATGATTTTAAAGGCTGAGGAGAGTCTTCTGAACTTAAACGACCTCTACAACTACCGTGCAAAGGCCAGAAAAATTTTCCTTCATGGCCGTACATCAATTGAGGCTGTGATTGAGGGCCTATCTGGATAGATTACCCACTATAAATTGGATAGTGTCCAGCGACCAAGCAGAATCCTCTTTATCTCGCAGCAAGGCCTTGAGTTTCTTCGTATTCATCCAAATTTACTATGGATAGATGCAACATATAAGACAAATCGGTAAGAGATGAGAGATAAGTAAGAGATTACTAAGAGATAGCTAACTTATTTAGATATAATATGCCATTGATTAATATCATTAGACAAACCTTAACAAGACGAACCTTCCACGTGGCCCTTTGCTTTGTGAGTAATGAGAAGGAGTCGTCATATCTTTGGATACTTCAGACTCTTTATACACAGCTTATATAGGCAAAGATTCAAGCCCCACGTGTTATCTTCTCCGACGACGCAGACGCTCTTCTAAATGCGTGTAGGGAGGTCTTTAAGGCTACAACTTGTATACTCTGTCTCTAGTATATCATGAAGAACATTGAAACACGCGTTCGGCCAATAATTGCAAAGTAATTACTCCTAGAAGACCTTCCTAATTTGGAACACTAAAAGAAGACTATCAGTGAATGGCGGTCTACGAAGGCTAGATTTATACAAATTGTCCTCGAGCCTACTAGAGAGGGGATAGAAGCAAGAAAGGCCTCTTTTCTAGAAGCCCTAAGCGACCTAATCTACTAATCAGCAGTCGAATACATCCAAAACCAGTGGTTTGGTGATAGGGCAAAGCAATTCATGCGGTGTTATCTTAACGGAATTCTCTATTACGATGAGCTTACTTCCTCTCGCGTGGAAGGCGCCTATACAAAGATTAAGCATGAACTTCGAACCTTAACCGGTGATATTCTTGCGGTAATGCAGGGAATCTCTCGAGTCGTTTCCTTCACAAATTAGTAGGCTTCTAGCTCAATTAAATCCCAGATTCATCGGCTACCTGTCTCTCTTCAAGTCCTATTATTCCGCGATATCCTTGGCCGGGTCTCAACAATCGCAATTCGGAAGGTGCATAACGCCTGGGTGAACTATATCCAATCAGAGAAGGCACTACCCCCTTGCACCTAATACTATACAAGATCTCTTGGTCTTCCATGTAATCATGTGATCAAAGATCTTATAGATAGTAGCAAGTCCCTTCTCCCATCCTATTTTGACCAACAACACTGGCTTCGCCTACCAAATCAGGTAATTCAGATTAATCAGCAGCGAATTAGAAGGATTAGAAGGATTAATGAACCGAGTCGGGTAAAGGGGATTGGACGGCCGAAGCTACTAGAGACTGTTAAGCGCTGGCAAAGATGGGGGAGGAGGAATTTCACCGGTCGGAAGTTAGGGGGAAAGCGAAGTCGAGGTACCTACGTTTCTATGGATAAAACCATAGGAATTGTGGTACCACCGCCTTCAAAGAGAACCAATACTTCGACAAGGCGAATTCCATCACACTAGGAGACAGAACTTCGGCAAGGGCGTGGGGCTGGCCGCGGTCGTAAGGCTAAGGAAGTGGTGGTAACAGAGAAGCAGTTGAAGAAAAGGGCAAGGCAGATTAGTAGGTTCCGAATTAGCCCTTGGCTAATTAGGAAGGCCTAGAAGGATTTGAATTGAATTGAATTAAATTAGATTGGTATGTGGGTCATGTGATTCTAGTAGGGTAGACGAGAGGCTATATGATAATCCTAGTAGTTAGTAGGAGATAGAAAGAGAAGGAGGAAAGATGCGTGAGTATAAGAAGGAAGGGGGTGGTTAAATTCGTAATTAATGGCCGTAACGGGCTTGGCAGAAATCAGGCGAATTCAGGCAGAAATCAGGCACTACCTGGTGCGGCCCAAATTCCTACCTGGTGCCAGCAGTGGCACCCAAAAATTAACATAGTGCTAAAATTCAAAGGACGCGAATTTTCTAGTTATGAAATATTCTCTAGTAGCTAATATTCCCCCCTCTCGAATATTCTCCCTATCGAATCTTCCTCCCTAGTGAATATTCCTCCCTAGCGAATTTTCTCACCTAGCTAATATCTTACCTAGCTAAAGTTTCTTACCGGCTAATTTTCTCCCTCCGAAGCTATAGTTGAATGGCTCTAGGTCTCGAACTATTCGTAAAGTAGGAGATCGAGTTTACTCTAAGGTGGAGAAAGGAGAAAAAGCAGCTAACTAATCAGAAGTAGAGTAACGAGGACCCTCCTCTAATTATAAGGATAGCGGGGTATTAATGCTCTCTTACCTATACTCTTTGCCTTATAGAAGATAGTTATAGTGCTTAACTCTTCCAAGAATCGTACTGTAGTTAGTTTCCCCTATGCCGTGCTTAGCTTATATATAAGACCGGGTACTTTAGTATAGTATTTTTCTTTCTGCGAACGTTTCCTATGATTTAATACCGTTCTTCGGAGCTCTACTAGGGTATTAGGGTAATAGCTACATAAGATTGCGTATTCACTTGACTCTACTTTATAATGAATATCGCAACAGAAATAACCTTAGCTCTGTTCGGTAGTGCGATATCGCCTCTATTTTGGGACAGCACTCTACTCCTGGTAGTGACTACTAGTCAGAACTAGTCCCTGCTAACACTATTTTGTGTTTATAGAGTCTACTTCTAACTCTATTAGTAATATATGAATATTGTATCTAAGCCCTCTAGGAGAATATTAACTTGACAGACTTCGCTATTTATAGTATCTTCAGCTCGTTTGGATAATAGTATGAGATTGGATGCTTAAGTATTCACGATGTTTTCCTGGATATTATATGAATTAAATAGAAGTAACTAATGCTTAACTATACGGCTACTTGCGTAGACCTTATATTAAACGAATATTGAAAGAGCCTTTTAGGCCTAGCTATATCTAGGTTTTTATCTTAGCAAGGAAGCTCCGTTGAAGGAGGGCTCCGTATAGGCTTTTTCTTATTAGCTGTTGCGAAGACTTGATTAGCCTATTTCTACTCTCGGCTCTAATTTAGAGTCCTATAACTTAGTCCCCTTATAATGATCTACGCTAATATACGGAATATAGTACCTGCCCTACTTATCTTTCTGCTAGTAGGCGGAAGTACTATATTCTAAATACTAATAAACAGCCACTGTACGGAGTATATACGGCTATATCCGAACCAGCCCGTCCCTATAGTACAATTCTTAGTTTCGGCGCGGCCGAATTATTACCTAGTAAGAACCTTCTGCTAAGTATTGCTATTCCGGTAACAAATTAGGTCTTCTATTACCTCTACTTATATAGTAGCCCGCGCTAATTTCACTAGAAAGTTCTAGAAGGTTCCCTTTTATAGCGACCCGTATAAGGACGTATCCCCCGTTACTAAGGCGTAGGGCTACGATTCTCGCCTTAGGCATAAGTAAAAGGTAGTAAATATATTCTAAAGTCGTCCCTAATACTCCGTATTAAAACAGCTATTATAGGTTTATATAGAGACGGAACGATAATAAATAAAAGGTAATCGCTCTACTCTCCTATCCCTCTACACGATAGTCTGATAGCTAATATACCTAATTCGGCCTAGTAGTACTATTAGCAATATCAAGAAAGATACTACGGAGTACTCCGTAATAGCTTTAGTATTTTGTAGAAACCAGGAAGAGAGAGAGATAGAGTTCTCTAGCTAAGCGTAAGGACTAGGAATAGTCCGCCTAACCTACTCTATAGTGTAGGTTGAAATAAATTTCTAATCAAGACCTAGGGGATGTGAAACTATTAGGAAATACACGGACCCAGGCTTTAGGTAGAGAAGGTACAGTATTTTTAGCTAATCCTTTTAATTCAACAGTCCCCTTCTTTTTCCTGAGGTTAGAGTTGAAACTAGCGGCTTTTCACTATTTTCACCGTTTAGTTCAACGTTTACTGTTCCTTCTAGTTAAATGCTCTATTTTGGACTCTCGGATTAAAATTAAGGCGCATTTTCACTACCTAACGTGCTCCTTCTTGACCTTACGTTGAACTCACATTTGAAAGGACTAATACGTTTAATTCGATTAGCCAATACAGTAGAAGATAGTAGTCAATTAATCGAGGATCAACGGCATCTATAACGGCCATCCTCACCCAACGCATGTTGGGCCTCACAAAAGAGGGGATAGTAGTGAAACTGCACCGTTTAGGCTTAGTGACTTGTCTGAAAGGCATAGGTGCTACTAGCCTCCTGCTACAATATGTTTACTCGGCACGGTCGAGTCATTATCCGGATAGTTGCCTGTTCTGCAGAGACTGACTTGCCTTACCTCCGCTGAAACCGAACAGTTAGAAATTCTGCACACAGATAATATCATGAGGACAGGAATATACACTACTCCTAATTTCAAGTCAACATAAAAGTTAGCCTAGTGCTGAAGTTCGAACTACTTGGAGTACCCGGTCTTCCAATACATATTACAGTACCCTGCGCGAATTCTTCTAATCCGAGTATTTTCTCGTGCTTTTCTTGCTGCTTACATCCATGGCTTTATGGTTAGGCTGGAGTTATCCGTCACTCCACATGGCCATTGACAATGTAGGCGTGGACAAATAAGAGTGTATAGCTGGTGGCAAACATTCGAGGGCCCACCATCGACTCTTGGCACTTCCACGCTAAACCCTTTTAGAATCTAATACTCGAGATCAGGTGGCAGGTTAGGACTAGCGTAGTATTTTAACCAAGCGATTACGCACACGAAATTTTCTAGATTCCTTCTTATCCCTTACAGAGAGAAGTTACGGAGTACACATGGCCAACTAAACAATGGCTACCGAACTTTGTTATCCAAGGGCAATCGACCCACTCGATGAAGAGCACGATAGCTTGATTCGAGAGCGAAAGGAGATGGAAGGTAATGAGAAGGTAACGGATATCTAGCAGATATCTCCTAGATATCTGGCTAATGACTAACGATACTTTGTGGGTTCCATGTGATCCTGGTCCTACATGGCTTAAGCAGGCGACCCTTAAGAGGCTAAGGCAAGAGGCTAAGGAAGAGGAGATTCAGGCAAAGCTTCTTGAGGCAAAGGTTCGGCGCTATAAGGCGCAGAAAGAGCTAGAACAGTTTAAAAAGCAGTAGTCTAGATAATTCACAGATATCTACTAGATATCTAGTATGCTATTCTGCCTTGTCAGAAGCTCTACTCAACAAAAATATATATTCGAAACTCCGTTCTATTTTTTACAATCTATAATAAGGGAAAGATTCAATTTCAATTTCTTCAATTGCGAGGTAGCTAGGCTAAGCTATAAGGGTAATATCTAAACAATTTAAGCCTCATCCTCTTCATCATCGCTTTCCTAGGGGATTTCGAAGGTAGCCAGGTAATCGCAGATGTCCTTATTATAGATACATCCTAGCATAGTCAGTTATCTAGCAGATAACCAAGGGATATCTGGTACACTTGCCTGCTATGTTCCTAATCGGGGACCCAGCAAAAGACCTCACCAACATGAATGATGACTTCATTCTTATTCTATATTACGGTAGTTATCCGTCAGATATCTGGAGGATGTCTGGATCCTCACTTTTTCATATACCGGCAGGACAAAACCATCAGTCGGGGCATCATTCAGATACCGCTTGAACGCCTCATAGTTCACAAGGAACTTAGGCTTATTAATCTCAGTAGGAGCCATCTAGATAACCGTCAGATATCTGGCTGCTTTCCACTCATCACACCATGCATTAGTAGAGGAAAGTGGTCAGGTATCCACCAGACGTCTAGCAGATGTCTAAGCATCCAGGAAGGCGGTAAGATATCTGCCAGATACCTGGCCACTTCCCCCACCACCAAATTCACCAGAATCAGGGCCAAAACCACCAACTCACTCACCTTGTGGCAGGAAACGTTGGAAATCGTCTAAAAATTGCCAACTCTAGAAGTTTGTTAGTTATCTGATAGATATCTGATGGATATTTGATAGATATTTGACGAAAAACGATGATTTCAGGGGGGAAACCGACCGTAGTTCGATGGCAGGGGGTGGTGGGAGATGTGGACGAAGGAAAGTTACAAGTGGGGCGTATGCCAAGGTATCCTCGGTGGGGCCTGATTATCGCCGCGCTAAGCCCAAATAGGAAAGAGAAAGTGCCAATAGTCGATGGTGGGGCCAGGAAATGTTCAGCTCAACTATTTCCTGGACAAATAAAATCTGTTTTGCGCTTTAAGAATGGCAGACATTAAATATCATTGGTTGGCTGCTACTCCTTTCTCCACCTTGGAGTAGCGAAGTGCTCGCCTCCAGCCTCATAGAGGAATTTGCCCACAAGTGTGAACCCAGGGAAGGCAGGTTAAGATTCATTTTACGTTTTACTTTTGATAGGTTTACCCTACTTCAGAAGATAATTGGTCCTCGAAATACCTGGTAGGTCCCACAACAGCCACCAATCGCATCCGGATCGGTCCGGCCCAGAGGCAGATCCCACTGGTATGTAAGTGAATAATACTGGCTTTAAAGGCATTGTCTGCGTGGGTCAAAGCCTAGATTACAGTGTAACCTTAGAAGTGATGTGTGCTTCCTCTGACAATAGTCTCAAGGTTAAAGCTAAGGTTTGAAGCGGACAGTCCTGTCAAAGTTGATATGTAATCTATTTCCAATCTTGGTTTAGTGGTACTCTCGACGCTGAATCGCGCAGATAGGTGACCATGCTATACTTAATTGCCTTATTAGAGAGCTATTGAGCAGCACCCTATATGCTACCATGGAAAATTCTCAAACACCCTATCTCGCTATCAAAGCCGGCATTACTGCCCTGTAAGGAATGTACACTCTCCTCAAAGAGCTTATTGCACGGCCGACCGTATACAGCCTCGCGCAAGCCTCTCTCATACATTGCGTTGTCTCCTTCATGAGAATTCGGAAGGGAATAATTGATTATCCTTCCTATTCCTTATCTGTTGCACCCAAAGTAATACTGTATAGCGTCTCTAATGCGTGAACAAATACAGTGTCAATCTACCTGCTTCTTTCTACTAAGGGGCTTCTGGAGAAACCTGAACTTATGTGAAATATTTCATATTTGTTAGCATGCAAAAGTATGATATTGAATAGCAATGACCCTGGTTATCTCAATCCAGTTGTAACCATAAGTTGGGCTGAAGTATACTTGCATACTTCAGCGTAGAGCGTCTGCAGCGTGAGACGCCTATTGTGCGTCTCTGGAAACGGTCTGTTCTCTAGTCTTTTGCAAATCACGATCTGTCATCACGGTTGGGGTTGGATAGTTAGTGGGAGCTCTGACTAGTCAGCGCACCGTCTGCTAGATGACGTCATGTAGTTTACATACCAATGTCGAAGTAAGAAAGGCCTAAAAGCCTGAGGCATCACAAAATATATATCTGACCAGTCTCCCGCATGCGAATACCGACGCACACATCTGCATCACACATCTTGCTATATTCGGACACCTTTTTCATCATGTTTGTCTTACGACGGTACAGTGGTAGTAGTAGTAATAGTATTCATTTACACTGGCCCCTCACCGAAGCGATATGCAGTATACGACAACTATATATATCCGAGTATGTACATTGAGAATGATCCAATTCCAGTGTCGACCGTTATCGCCTTCCATGTCGGAAACATGGGAGCCGCTCTTTCAAACCCTAATCACATGATACACTAATCCGGATATGGCTAATCCCGTAATTTTAAGATCTGTTCCTAGGTTGAATGATTTAGGGCTAACGTAATTCCCGCTTGACCGGGTCACCCGGTTAAGCGGGTCACCCCAAATCACATAGTAAATCCCATAAATTACTACTTTAATATCTCAACAACCATAGATTATTTTCACTTGTATATTTCTATATAGGCTTTTCTTGGCTTATAAAATAATATAGCTTAGTTTTAAAAAATTCAGATGATTATTTCCATGCTTTACCATAAAATACGACGTAATTTTAACATATACGACATAAATATATATATTTCTTTCAAAACTTTAGCTAATTTTTCTGTACTTCCTTAGCGGGTTAGAAATATTATATAGATTATATAATTGTAATATCGCATTATAGATACATATGGTTGTTGAGATACGAAGTAGTAATTTATAGGATTTACTATGTGTTTTGGGGTGACCCGCTTAACCGGGTGACCCGGTCAAGCGGGAATTACGTTATACGCGTATCGACCTAAGTAAGCCGTATGCTCCTGTATTGTCGCAGCCACGAAAACCCCCGCTCCATAATACTCCATACCTCCAGTGAGTACGGAATACATTCTTACTTACTTACCTACATGCCTACCCGAGTCATGTCTCCCTACTCCGCATGGTCCAGTGTATGCGGCCAACTGCTCCTCCAACTGCAGTTCACAAGAGAGAAGAGAGAAAAAAATACACGACGCTACGTGGCAGTTCCTATCTCTTCAACGTATTATCTGCACAGGTAGCTTCCCAGCGCCACTAAAAAGCTAATTTCAGCACTGATCATCCTGTTCGTGCATTAATCACACTTTTTGCGGTGATATTCTACGGACAAGTTATTTGCATACGTTGCTATCGGGTGACAAATCGGTGGGGGAGCAGTTTTCAGTGCGTTTCATACCCCCATCTTTTCTCCACTTTCGTTCGCATTGCGCGTGTAGAAAAAGTAGCTGAAATCGTCAGCGGCTTGGCGTCCCATTTACCCTTGAACTTAATGCGGCCAGCTCTGATATGCACACATAAATACCTCATCGCTACCCTGGTCAAAATTTTCCGTTTGGATTTGCAGTTCATTCATTTGATATCTTGGTAGATCCTTATCATTTCTAGGTTGAGCATTTGATAATGGGCTCGACCACATCGACTACACAATGGCTGCATTCCGAAGTCCTCGATCGAAGCCTTTGGGCTGACAACCCGGAATATCTCCTCACGATCCCACCGCGGATTAGTAAATATAACGAACGATCCGACGATGCAAGCATTCAACTTCAAATCGACGTGGCTGGTAAGGAAAATGTTGGAGTTGTCGATGGTGCTATTACTAGTGTTGGGAGTTTAGCTGCGTTGATGTATCCCGACTGCCTTCCGGACAGAATGGCAGCTACTTCATATGTGCTTGAGACAACATTTATTTGGGACGGTAGGTACATCACTTGCTTCTAGTATTATGAGCCCTCGCCACTGACGGACGATAGATCTCAATATTCCGGAACCAGATGAGGTATGATCGGATCCACCGCTCTTGGTGAATAGGTTTAAAACTAACCCATATGCATGAAAAGGTGGCCATTAAAGATTCCGAGTCAAATACTCGGAAGGATGTGAACATCTTTCACCACCCTTCCATGAAAGTCAGACTAAAACAAGCGTTCTCTAAAGGGGTTGCTGCAGTGAGTAGGATCGATCCTATTCTTGGGCCTAGCGTCCTCGAAACTTGGAAGGACTGGAGACTTGCCGAAACAGACATCCGTGGCAACTTTTTTAAATGGACAAGCTTGGATCAATACGTGGAAGTTCGTGTCCGCGATATTGGATACCCGTACGTTTGCTATTTTCACGGAAATCAACGCCGAGCTATCACCAAACTTACTATACTTTAGCTGTGTTATTGCCATGGGGTTATTTTCATGCAACCTGAAAATAACTCCAGAGGAAGAGGCTATAGCACTTCAGATTGCCTGGCCTTTGCATGCGCAGGGGGTTTATTCCAACGACTACTACTCCTGGTTTAAAGAGTTAAGAGCTCATCAGGAAAGTGGCGGGAAAATCCCGATCATAAATTCAGTCAAGTTGCTACAGCGCTTAGAAGGTCTTTCCGTGGAAGAGGCAAGAGCACGACTGAGAGAGAAGAGCCTCGAAATGGAGGCAGAGTACCATCGACGCAAGAAGGAGTACTTCGAAGCCAATGCGGACAAGGGTATTTCCCCTGCCCTGGTTCGGTATCTTGACTATCACGAGCAATACGCCACTGGCCATGTCATATGGTGCTTGAACTCTTATCGCAACAACTCCCCTGGTGGAGATGAGTATCGCGCTTATTATGCAAAGCGAGTTGCAGAGGGAGCTATCTTCTGGGACAATCCTTCACAGTCGGAGGACATCCTGACCGATGGATACCAGGTTCGGTATCTCAAGAAGTAGCTGTTCGGGGGAGGCGTTTGGTCGAGTATGCCGCTAGAGGAATGAACTTAAGCTAGGCTGACCAGCTTTACTGAAAGCGAACACTTAGCTACTCCAAAGTGGAGAAAGGAGTGCATAGCAGCCAACCAATAGTATTGATTCGTTGTTCCTTCTACCCCTTGGAGCTTTTCAAGAGAGATTGTGAGGCTTGAGCAAGTAAAGTACTAGGACCCGAAATCCCCTCCTTCTTGCCTGGCAAGAGTCCGCACAACATTCAGCAAAGGACGTGAAAGATGGGAATGTGAAGAACAGAGATATTTCTCTCCAAAGGACTTAGTGGTGTATGGTGGTCAACATGCTTTGGAGGATTTTGGGCTGTCGAAAAAAGTTCAAAAGGAGTATTTTTAGCAGGTACATCGGTCTATGTAACTTCGTAATCAAAGTGTTCACATAATCCGCAATCGCTAGTGACATGACCACATTGACATCTCAAATGAATGAATTCTCCTAGAGCCTCGTATTGGTAATACCATGTTTTTTTTGGGTTTCTTCCGTACCCTGGGTTGTATACTTCGCTTCCGACTTCGTACATCATCGAGTAGGGCCTGAGACCTTGCTTGTAAATCTTTGTAATTGGACTCACAGTCTGAATCGGGTTTAATTAGGATATCGGCACTCTTCTCTTCCACTGTGTGCGTCTTTTCGATCCTTTCCTTCTTAGCAACACGACTATGTTGGCAGGAAATTTCCTCCTCACTCTTACGCTTCAAAACCGTTCGTGCAGGTCCTAGGAAGAGAGTGTAGTCTAATAATTCATGAGGCGCCGCACTATGAATTTTGGGTAGATCGTCTTTCATGGCGAGTAACTAAATTTTTGGCGTTAGCCCTTCGGTTCCATATAAACAATTCAATCTAGGCTATTCTTTGAAATTATACCAGGAAAAAATGTGTCCAGTCGCTCCTGGAACAGCCACTCCACCACTGATTATGTCTGGAGGTATAGAGGGAAGCCCGACGACCTCAATATCCGTGCTATTGCTTCGCTGTGAAGACTATCTTCAGTATCTGTGTAAGCTCCTTGGCTCTGCAGTCCCCCAGAACGAGAAGACAATACAAAATAACTGGAGCTTTGAAGGCTAACTCACCGAAAAGTTGTCCAGCTTTAGATGTATACCAGTTAAGGTACATATGAGTAAAATAAAATCCACAAAACCCTTTTTGAGGATGCGAGAGGGCTAACACTCTCTCTATTAATATAGATCATATTAAGGATACACGCTTAGTATTTAAATCTTTCATGGGTATTGTTCAGGGGTATGTTATAGATATTATGCATTGTTTCTGTGGATGATCAAGTTCCAGAATCTTAAAAATAGAAATCCAGCCAGCGTGATGAGCCTTCGCAGGTGGTCACCATTGGAGAAGTGGGATAATATTCGTAAATATTCACTTGGCGCACTCACGTACGGTCGGACAAGACGGGGCAGGTACCAGTAGCCCGTTGAGTGGAGTTGTAATATGTAGATCTTTTTTAGAAGGGACAACGCCTCACTTGCCGCTCAGGATGAACCATAATCAATTTTCTAAATTGCCTTCTGTAGACACGTTATTCCTGATTAGGTTCCGAAGGGTTCGCGCGGCTCCTTGAAAGTTATTTCTGGTTAGCGCCGTGCGTGACTAACGACCGACTACGTTAAGGCAGCCCTCCAAATAATGCCACTTCGTCCTTTCTTCATCCTTAATTACGATGCCTCGCCAGCAAGAAAGGAGCCTAATCTCATCTATCCACAAAGAGAGCCGGTTGGAGCGAGTCACAAATGGGGAGGTCATTGAATTCCTAAGTTCTCTCCCACAGAATCACCCCTTTGGCGTCCCGGAAAACGACGAGAAGCGGAAGTTCCTTCGACGGCTTTATGTTCTACTCCGTGACCTATTCAGTACTAGCACAACTTCTTCTCGTGCAAATCGCACTAGAGTTCTAGCTATTAGTCGTTTCGAAGTACTTAGAAGCCTGGCTGAACGTTTCCAAGATTTCGAAACAGATCCCTTGGGGTTCTAGGAAAGACTTAGCGAAGCACTGCCATAATATAATAAACAAGGGGCCAAAAACAGAGCGAAGCTTTTCCTCGAGGGTACAGTTTAGCTAGACACCAACATCCAGGAGCAACTCATACTTCAAAGATTTGTGTCTGTCGCCGCTTACAAGCTTTTCCGAAGAGCAATTCCTTTATCAGATACTCGTATCATGCCAGAAAGCCTGAAACAATTTCTGATTTACGTAGGCATATGTAGCTCAGAAAGTGGTGAAGATATCCGCAAATACGGAGATATCATTAAACGCGGACGAAGATACGCACACTTCTGCCAAGAACTTGCAGCGAGCTAAATAACCGATAAGGATACAGAGGAGAGTGACAGTAAAGGCGATAATGAAGCCTATGGACCCCTATTCTTCTCCTCTATTCCAGACACTATGTAAGCATCAGCCTAAGGTAGAACCTACTGGTACTAACGGTTTTTAGTTGGGATGAAAAAGGTCTCGTTGGAGAGGACTTTGAGACTGTTATAAAATATCTTCAAGAAATGGATGTCGTGAATAAATCCAGAGAGGCCAGGCCTCCTAAATGGCAAAAGTCTTGCTAGACTTCCACAAAATATTTGTCTGGGTCAATGAAATGCCCGAAAGATCGTCAGGGAAGAGGAAGAAAAATGAACAAGGACATAAAACAGCTAGGAAAAAACGAGGAAGATCGAAATATCTAGAACCCTCATCCACCGCAGCTACTTCTCACGAGTAAGATATCCGACTAGTAGGAGAGCCTATACTTCAGCCTCGCCTCTCTCCGGAGCGTATATATGAAGGGTGTTTCTAGACTAGTATAGGACTTGATTCAAACCCTACGTGGCGGGTCTCACAGACCAGAGCTCCTAGTCAAGGTTTATTTCGTCTACCGGGAATTACGTAGCAAGAATAGCGGGGAACTGGAATCGCGCCTGGTCGATCTAGAATGGAAGATGAACCGTCCCGATTCGACACACTAGTTTCGGCAGCATGCTCTACAGACACCGCTGAACAGTTCCAAGATAGGGCGGCTAGAATCACGACCGTGGACTTTGTCCTACTGCCTGCACAAACTCAAGAAACCCTCCTTAACATTACCGCACTCGATTTCGTCGTCCCGTTGCTTGACGTGACTGACCTCGAATTTGTTGACCCACAATCATCTATGTTTGCCTAACTTTATTCTTTTGAATAAGATATTTCAAGTCTCCCGAATCAGATATAAAAGCGCGTCGATGGAAGCCCTCTTACCGATTGATATTCTTAACTTTCTAAACTAGGTACAAGATATTTCCCTTAGAGATCTCCACGCGGACGTTCTTTGAGATGCACATCTTTGTTCCGTTTACTAGGGGATAATTTCGATCCCTATCTCTAATGTTATAACCCTCACTCGGAAAAATTGGGATAAGTTCCCCCTCCTTAACTTCCTATCCCGTGTGTGATGTCCGAAAGACGGCGACGCTAGAATTCTGCAATTATTAGCCCTGAATCTCGCTTAGGAAAGGAAGTAGAGACAGACCTGTGCGAGCTGCTGTAGAATCTGTCGTAGTTTTGTTTCCGAACATTGCTCTACGAGGGTGAACCGTGGGGAGTGTTTCTATTCCGCGTTTGGATTGGCCACTAGCTAGCTCTTCAACTCCTCCACAACCGTTCGTTCGAGAGGTTCAAGGTCTTGCTGAAGAACTCCGTAGCTTTCGGGTCCGCTCATGGAAATAGGTGGAAAGAGACGAATTCCTATGTTATATAAGCCTGTATTGCTAAGAGACACTACGCTCACTATAATATATAGAAAGATTCAAATGGGTCTGAAAGATGTGTCTATTCCGCGCTAATGCGAGCTGATGATTGTACTAGGTTAGGAATACCTGTGTGAGCGAGTAAACCAATGTGAATTTTAGTGGGCGATAACCTAGAATGCTCACCTGAAGTTACTAATATTTGTACTAGATACTTCATCGGGTCCTTAAAGATCTTGCAGAAGGAGTAACACGTTTTGTGTTATGAGGTATAGAAGGGTAGCTGAATCTGAAATGCCTGTTATTTTAGCTGGCCAAGAAGAGGGGGTTTCGATTGCCCCGCGAGTGCCCTTATCACGTGCACCTGGAAATGCAGGTACCTATGAACTCCGTCGGGTAAGATATGCGCATCGATTGCTTATTCAGCCTTCTCGACTTTGCACCTAGTGGGGAACACTTTGCTGGAGAAAAAAACTCGCTGAGGCTGGTGTCACTATAAAAAGCTACCCCTTTTCACTCTAGCAAAGTACACGAAGAACATGGAAAATATCTTTAAATCGTTCTTTCAAGGATCGAAGTATATCATCACCATCGTTCTATGAACATTTGTTTACCGCGAGAAGGACCTTTAAATGATCACCGGCCTTATCTTGTTCTACGCAGACCGCGGGAATATAGTCTGAGCCATCCTGATTCTTGGAAAGGAAGGATAGTGTTTCTACTAAGTCGCGCTCAATCGAGAATGGCAATCTGTATTGGTTATTGGATGGACTTGTCCGGTTTTGACTTGGAGGCTCTGGAAATTCGTTGAGAAGGTAATTAAGCACGATCAGCTCCGCGCATAGTATATTAGACTCTTGATCAATCAGAGATATATTGAAGTTATAAAGATAAGTTCGAATGGAGGGGTGCGAGCATACCGAGAGATGGGTAGAGTAAGGCTGTGCTACCGCGATCAAGGAAACCTCGTCACTAAGGTGGTGATAGCAGATGCGGTACCGACAACTTCCGCCATGTTAAATTATCGTGATATTGGTATCCTTTGAATTGATAGGAGAGAAGAGGGCGGGAGGAAGCTCGCTTGTTTTCAGTGACGTGTGGGCGCAGAGGATATAAAGGCAAGTGAACGATGTGGGGGTATGTTGTTCTTTTCTGCTTTGGATAGCGCGCGGCAAAATCGCGCGTGCTCGTGCGCCATGATTGGTGGCTAAGTTTGTTTCAATTCCTTGTCACCCAGAATGTTCCGTGATTCTGAATCACGGGCCCATTCTTACTAATTTTGGAAACCTACAAAAGAATTACCTCCTACTTGAGTTGACTAGCTTGCCGTTAGGAGGTGAGTGGCGCGTAGTAAGTGGTTGAAAGCAACTCTTCCCCATCCATAGTGGTTTTAAAACTTTAGTAGTATTAAAACTATATTAGTATAACAACCATAGTCATGAGAGTTCAGTGGTTTAAAAACCATAGTATCTAGTTTTGGTACCTGTGTACAGTGACTACGCATAAGTTTTTGTACCCCCCGGCCCTACTTTGCTGACCGCCCATACTAATTGCTACCGCCTACTAGATACGCGTAGTAAGAGAACATGCTAAGATGCGTGTAACGCGATAGGCATAAGGTTCTGGGCAAGATCCCTATCCTAGACCTATTAGGTGACCTAGTGGTGATGTAGTAGCTAGTTAATTAGTTAATTGTTGAATTCAAGGACTTTTAGCGGAGGTTTTGGGACCGGCAGTATCTTATGTAATGCAGGGGGTGTGGGGCCGCGGGTCTAAAAACTTATGCGTAGTCACTGTATATGAGTGGTCATAGAAGTCATCGTTGCTTCGAGGATGGCCGCGGGGGGTTTGGGGGTGGGTGTGAAGAGACCTACCATAATAACGCTCTTCGACACAAAGTTCCTGGCGCGTCAAGAGACCCGCGCAACTGTGGCCCAGGGTGATATCGTAACAGTATACAAACCGTAGTTAAGTTAGTTAACCGGGCCTGGAGGATTACATAAGAAATTATGATTTGGCCAATGAGAGGCTACGATTTTGATGGCCCATAACTCATGCCATTTGAAACGATTTGAAACGATTTGCGCTTAAAAATGCGATCTGAATTGTATGCGAATTGAATTGAATTATCATGTGCGATTTAAACCACCCGTCCATCCCCCTGCGATGAGGACGATGCTGTCTAGAGTCAACCATGAAAAATGACTCTTACATAGCTCCACGATAATAATCAGCCCCATGTTCCCGAAAGAGGTATTTTCCAAGGAATCGGCGGCCCTCTAGAAGCTGACTACTGCTGATATCGATCTTAATAATATAAATTGAGTACGCTCCCCCCCCTACACCCTCTCCCAACTCTTTTTGTATTCGTTCTCGCCGAATCACAAGAAAATTGTCGGGCCTGTCGGGCCGCGCGCAATTGACTGATGAATAAATTTGGATTAAAGTTCTTTCTTACAGAAAGAATAGCCAGGCGACTAAATACACGCCGCTTAACTGGTCGATTTGGTCACAGACCGGCCAAAAAGAATAGAGAAAGGTAATGTTCAGATAACCCCCCACGTCCATCGGACTTCAGTCAGTCAAGTCTTTGTGAGTGGGACTCTTGATCTATTCCCTCCTGCTTCGTATCACTGGTTCCTTTACAACCAAGCAGAAGTCATACTGGGGCCATTCATGAAAACGTTGATCTGCATAGCCTGGAGCTTGCCGTTGTAGTACTGGAGAACCTCGAGCGTATCGCCGGTAGCGTTCATGGGAGAGAGGACGGGCAGAGTTGCCTTAGCCTTCATCTCGGCGAACCACACATCCTGAGCGGCCTGAGCGTCGGTCATCCTGTTGGGGATGAAGGCAGAAACGTTGCCGTTGTAGGGGTAGACCTTGCCGGGAATGATGCCGCTGGTGACGATGAAGCCCAGTTCCTCATCAATAACCAGATTCACACGAGCGTTATCGTCGGTAGGGTGGCTGTCAGGCCAGTTGCAGCCGAGAGGGTCGGTAGTGCCGTTTCCATACACTCCAGTGTCGACAACCTTCCAGCCCAGCTCAGTGAACTGGCAGTTATCATCGACAGTAACCACAGTCTCGCTGGAAGTAGCAAACAGAGCCTCGCTCACAGTCTCGAGGGTCTTGCGGCTATTCTTGGTGCGATTAGCCGGGGGCATCATCAGAGTCCGGTAGTTGGGCACAAGCTGAGTAGCGTTGAAGGAGAAGCCGTGGTCGCCACGGTTACGGTTGAGGAACAACTCGAGCTCGGTGATCTTCTGGTCGACAACCGCAATGCGACCACGAAGGATGGTTTGCACATCATCGTTGCCCTCATTGACATCAAGGGCGAAGTACCCAGTACCCTGAGCGGCATCGATAGCCAGCAGGCTAGGGGGGCAACGTTGACGATAGTGCGCCACGAGGTCATCATGCTTAGCGCAGCTGGGTGCGAGTTTTCAGTGGCCTTGTAGACGGTGGCCAATGGCAGAGTCGACGGGTCATGGGCCACCATGGAGTCCAAGACGTCGGTGATGATAGCGGTCATGCAGGCCCGGGAGCAGGAGCTCGTGGTAGCCCGAGCGGCATGCGGCAAAGCTGCCCCGCCCACGGCGAACATGGCCATTACGAGGCCCACCGAAAGGTTGAGGAAATCGGAAGGGGGTGAAATGCGCATTTTGAGTTGCTAACTCAACCGAGTCGAGAGACTTGAGGATGTGTGCTGGAAAGGACTGAGGGATGAGATGGTTGCTGATGAGGGAAAGAAACCCAGGGAAGTCCACGCCTTTATATTCTTTTCTAGATGTTAGATGACGCGTGAAACTCACATTATGGAGAACCATTCCATTGCCGAGCTTGATGCTAAACTAGGTAACTTAGATTGTGAGGTGCTTAGTCAAATTCGCCAGCTTCTTTTCGCATTTCCCCATGTTCGGCTCCACTTCAGTTCTCCGGGTCCGGGGTCGTCGCTCGGCCCCACCCCCGCATCAACTGAATTCGAGTCGACGCTTGGCTCTATACACGTTGGTGCAACCAATTGATTTTACGGGGCACAGGAATTTACTGTCCCAGAAAGCAAACACCAACGCAATACAATTCGCGCCCTCTCTATCATGCAGTCTAGCGCAGTCATCAGGATCAATGGAGTACATCCTCCTATACTGATTCCATCCAAAGACTTTTTCTCATGTAAAAACTTTCCGAGTTGCTAATTTAGAAAATAGCACATACAGCATTGATAGAGGTGGTGGTGTAGACTGAGGGATTGTGTTCCAGGCTTCGCCGTCGCCCTGATGCAGATAGGCCATGATCTTGCATACGCCCCTATAGGAGATCCCGTGCTATGAATAATTTTGCTGATATGGTCCTGAAGAAGGGAAGTATAGTAGTCGGACTCTGCCGCTAATATTCCAAGGGGCACTTCGGGAGACTTTGTATTAGCAGGGAACACCTGTCTAGTGCAGAAAAAGGTTCTCGGTCTGGTGCCCCCAGAATATTGAGAGCGCTACAGCAAAATATTCAATACCACGCCTGGGCAATGAAATCCATTGGGAATCAACGGGATGTGGACCTCCAGTGCTTCCCTGGACTGTGCGGACTGTGCGAGAGCCTCGACACAAGCAACTCCTTACTCCACTACCCACACTTGCGACTTTATAGCAAGCCGATGCTCCCCGCTGCCAAATGCCCCTCTAAGCTTCCATTGCCTTCAAGTCAACCCGCTAGGATGGATATCACTCAAACCCACGAAGATCATCCTGACGGCCTCGCAGGGCTGGAGGAGAAGAAGACCAGCAGCAGCGATGCGAAGACGCTGGGCCATCTGCGTCTGCGACACGCTGAGACCAACGAGATTATTCTAGTCCCGACGCCGTCTTCTGACCCTAAGGACCCTCTCAATTGGTAAATTCGCATAGGTCGGCGCTATCCCGCCTGAATTGTTTCCCTCTGACTTCTTCCTAGGCCGAGATGGTTCAAGCTGTACACGGCGGTCGCTGTTTGCTTTGCTATGATTCTGTGCAATTTCCTTGCGGCTGGTCCAACGCTGGCCATTCTCCAGACCGCACAGGACTTCTTCCCCGATTGGATGGAGACTGGCATGGCTGGCCCTATCGCAAAGACTGCCTATTTCTTCAACACCACCGCGCTGTTCCAGGGTTTAGGTAATCTGCTCTGGATGCCCCTGATCAACAAGTATGGTCGTCGCCCTGTTTATGTGGTCGCTTTTACCTTGTATACAATCACTGCCCTCTGGTGTGCAGTCGGCAAGGGCTACGCAAACTTTCTAGTGGCAAGAATTGTCATGGGATTTGCCGCTGGAGCAGGAGAGTGTCTTGCCCCTGTTACCATTGCAGACGTCTACTTCCTCCATGAGCGTGGAGCTATTACCGCGTAAGTCTCCTCTTTGCTGATATAGGATCATTACTAATTAGATCCTAGGTTGTATAACGCCTCTCTGAATCTTGGTGTTGCTACCGGAGCTATTATCGACGGCTTTATCGTGAAGTACCACCCATGGCGCTACATCTACTACGTCGCTATTGCTCTTATTGGTGGTGCTACCCTTATTGTATACGCGACGTTCCCGGAGACGGCGTTTATCAGAAAAACCGCATCTAGAAATAATGTTACTACATTGACTGCCTCTGGTGAACGTGTCCGTCGCGGTACCAAAGGTGAAGAGGTTGGTGATTCCGAAATCCATGAAGTTGTCCCCGAGTCTGGTCAAAACCGTAGATGGTTGAAGCAAGGCCTTAAGTTATACCACGGTACCTACACCGATGAGTCGATCTGGCAAATGGCGATCCGTCCTGTTGGACTCCTGATCCTTCCTCCGGTTCTTTGGGCAACACTGGTTATGTCGGTGACTATTGGTTTCATCGTGGCCGTCACCTCCAATGTATCACCGGCATTTTCCACAGCTTATGGCTTTGAGGCCTGGCAATCTGGACTGTGCTTCTTCTCAGCTATTATCGGAGCCTTGGTCGGCATTTTCCTTGGAGGCCACTTCTCTGACTGGGTCGCTGACTACTTCACTCGCCGTAACGGTGGTATTCGAGAGCCGGAGATGCGTCTTCCTGCTATCATGATTGGTGCTATTACCGGCCCCCTTGCCCTGGCTCTATACGGCTGCGGTGTCCACTGGAAGATGCACTGGATCGTTCCAACTATCGGTATTGGCTTGAGTAAGTTCCTCACCCTCTGGTATTCGATATCAGACCCTTTCTAATTCGATATAGTCAACTTCACCATCACCCAAGCCACAAACGTCTCCCTCGTGTACACCATCGATAGCTACCGTCCTGTCGCCGGTGAAGTTGTTGTCACCCAGCTTGCTTTCAAGTCTGCGTTCGGCTTTTTGCTGGGATTCTACACGAACCCATGGGTTGACGAGGATGGCTACAATGTTGCCTACGGCGAAATGGCTGCCATTTGCGGCGCTGTCCTCATGCTCTGGGTCCCACTCTTCATTTGGGGCAAGCAAATTCGCGAGAAGACTCTTAGCTGGCGGGTTATGCGGTGGGTGCAGTGGGATGCAGACCGAGAGGTTGGCGAGTAAGCTATTTTATGCCCACTAGATTACGAACTTAGCTCCACCGACACTATCCGGCGGATTGATGTCCAGCGCAGATTCAAATTCTCTGTTTTCTGGATATATTTGGGACCTGTATGGGGAGGGGTACTCGTGGAAATCTTCAACGGGGTTGGAAGAAAGAGAAGATCTTGTCGCATAGCCTCAACTTGGGTTCAGCAAATCTTAATGTTCTCCAACGGGTTTTGTAGATTTGTGAGTAGTATAAGTTTTAGTGAAACTTTGCTAACTAATGGCAGAATATTATGTAATCCGGCGATGTGGGGCGGGTGTTCCAACATACTGAGCGAATATGGGAGGTATGCTCGAACGCCGGTGTCAAACTGTTGTACTTACCACTGTATTCTCCTGATCTAAACCCGATCGAAGAGTTTGTACGTTGCGTGTCACCCCTTCTCGAAATACTCTTAAAATAATATCTTTTTTGCTTGAAGATTGATTCGATTCTTGACCTTGTTGTCACTGTCCCTACTAGCAAAGCATGAGAAAATTGGGCCTTTTTCCTCCTTGGTCTAATAAAGGCTATTACCTTTTAGTAAAGACAGACAGAGAGAGAGTCTAATTGAAATATTGTTTGGGAGTGACACTTTGGTGAATGAGCCCGCTCTCGAATGTCTTTTGAAGATAGCCCCGTAGCATTGGGCGAGTAGCTTGTAACAGAAAGTAGGTTCCTGATTCGAAACCAAAATCGACTTCATCCAAGATATCTCTTCCGTTGTCTCCTACAAGCGGAAGTTATTATATTTCAAAGTGCTACTTATGGATTGCGTTGGCGGATGACGGTCGAGGATGGACACCGCCTTCGGCAGAAAGTATTCTATGCGGTCTTCTGCTGAAGAACACCACATTTCTCCTTCCTTAAGATTGTCGTAAACAGCATGCATTGGCCTAGTACGGAGGTCCATCCAAAAAGTATTGCGCAGAGCACGTACCACCATTATATTACCACTAACGATATACCAAGCGAATACACACAATCCTTCTTCCCATAAGCTGATTTTATCTTCATTACCTACTACTACTACTACCTACCTACCACAGTCTACTACTATCATCACTATGGCAAAACAGTCAACGCAAGCTGATCGTGTGACAGTCGTCGCATTAAGGGCGTATACGATGAAAACGTCTAGTGAGATCGCGAAGATAGTAGGTCTATCTATTGCCACTATTAATCGCATATACGCGCGTGCGATCGAGCGTGGTTTCGATCCGATTCATACAAAGATCACCGATAAATACGTGCAAGATAGCCCTCGCACTGGTCGACCTACTAAGCAAGATCCTGAGACAGTTAATACTATCCTGTCAAAGGTGCGCCTTGATCGTTACGGTCGCGAGAAAACGTGCGCTGATATTGCTGGTGAGCTTAGCTAGGAAGGGAAAGAGATATCATCCTCTACTATCTGGACTATCCTAAGGAAGGCTGGTTTACGGAAAACGAAGCCGACGAGGAAGCCTGGACTGACGAAGAAGATGCGCGCTGAGCGTTTAGCCTGGTGTCTAGCCCACGAGCACTGGACCCTTGAAGATTGGAAGAATGTAATATTCTCTGATGAGACCTCAGTGATTCTTCTACACCGCCGTGGTGGTTATCGTGTGTGGCGTTCTAAGGATGAAGCTTTTCTACGCTCTTGTATCCGTGAACGATGGAAGGGTTCGTCTGAATTTATGTTTTGGGGCTGCTTTTCTTATGATAAGAAGGGTCCTTCTCACTATTGGTGCCCTGAAACTGCGATTGAAAAACGCAAAGCAGAGGAAGAGATTGAAGCTCTTAACCAAGAGATTGAACCTATCCTTCGCGAGCAGTGGGAGCTTGAGACTGGTATACGACGTATTAATCTTCGTCGACAGCCAGCTGGTAAAAAGCCTACATAGAAATTCAATAAGCAAAACGGCAAGCTTTCACGAGGAGCTAAGGGCGGAATCGACTGGTATCGCTATTAAAAGATGATTCTTATACCAAAGCTTCTTCCTTTTGCTAAGGAATGCGCTATTGAGCGACCGAAGACGATTGTGCAAGAAGATAAAGCTCCAGCGCATAACCATTATATTCAACAGCGAGTATTTGATGCTGCTGAAGTATAGCGCTTGCTCTGGTGTCCTAATTCGCCAGATCTTAATGCAATTGAACCTGCGTGGCCTTAGATGAAGCGAAGGACTACAAGGAAGGGAGCACCTAAGTCTAGGCAGGAGGCAATTACTATATGGAATCAGGCCTGGCGAGATCTCCCGCAGGAGAAGATACAGGCTTGGATTGAGCGTATACCGACGCATATTAAGAAGATTATTGAATTAGAAGGGGGAAACGAATATAAGGAGGGTAGGTAAATAATACCATATAGTACGTTAATGTAATTTAATGGTGGTACGTGCGCAGCGCAATACCTTTTGGATGGACCTCCGTACAATTGAATCAATTCTGCTACAGCCCTTCACATCCTCTGTGTCTTCTTCCCTTCGCCGCCTATTCACTATTAACCCAATATCTACTACCTTTCTAATTCTACTAGAATATAGAACCCCCCGAAACCCGCTTCCATCTCTGTCATGCCATCACAAACTTCTTTCCTTGCCATTCATCACATTCGCGATTTCATCGACTATGTCGAACAAGATCCAGCGCAATTTCAAAATATCGATTTCAATTTCAATTTTGATCCGCAAATATGTTGCCGAATAGGGCTGGCTTTACCCAATTAGGTTAGCGTAGGTTTCAATTTCACGAATCCCATTTCAAAATTCAGCAAAATTTGTGAAATGCTTAAAATTTCACCTCACATCCCTAAATGGGGATATACAGTACATGTCCATCGATGCAAACCTCCACCGGCGGTCGGGCAGGAAGGGGATGCCGCTCGGATTTGTGGGAATGAATTTTCGGACTCTCTGAGACAGGGCCGCTAGGATTGGATGGATGTGGGGTGGCTGAAGCAAGACTTAAATTCAATCTACAGTAACTAGGCCACAAACTGTGTACAAAAAGCTTGGAGAAGAGAAGGAGTGGAACAAGCAGAACAACAATAGAAGTAGGGGGCAGGGCGGTGGCAGAACAGGGGCGTGCGGGGAAAGATTATGGCAAGGCCATATAGTGAAAAGCGGGCCTAACCCGTTACACATAAACTAGCAGTCTGCTATTCAACTTCAGTTTAGATGAATACTGTGGAATTTGAGTATTAAGGTTCTGACTCACCCGCTCAGTTTTCGTAATGGCATCTTGCAAGGTTCTGTCTGGCTTGAGCAAGCTGCATTTGATTTGTCCGGGTTGGAGTGGTTATATAATTTGCCTGACGAGCGGCCACTGCGGCCTCTTCTGCAGCACAAGGGTCGTCTTGTCTCACAATTACCCCATTCGGTAAGGGATTATGAATTGGGAAAGCCGACGTAGCTGCCGCAGCAAATATAGAAGCAAGAATAAATAAGAACTGCATCTTAATAATCAGGAGAATGCTAGTCTTGATAGGTGGTCTAACGGAATGATCAACTGTAGTGTAGTGAAGGATGGAACTATGAGAAACAGGGGGATAAGGACGCAGGTTTTATATATTATCTTCCTCCTAATAACTGTATTTCTCCCTATGGAAGGGCGCCTGAAAATAGGAGAATGATCGACAATCTGATAATTTTCGCAATTCGTAGTAGATGATCTACATATATGCAGAAAGTAAATAGTGAATTTCTCTGCGCTAGTAGCTGCGGTATTCCTATAGCTTGCCTAAAGTAGTATCGATAGTCTTTCCTAATATGATGTGACGATTAAGCCATCAGGACCCGAGATGGTTGACACTCCATGCATGGGCGCTAGCGGAAGCACACTAACCAAATTGAGATAGGAAGAGGTTTGCCCTGAAACCCCTGAGCAGATAGCTTCGTCTCTCTCTTTTCCCTCTTTAGTCTTAATACGTTCGTTGAAATGCACAAGTTGATTTGATCTTCTTCCTGGCGCGTGTACACATTGGCTGGCTAAGCCGGGTGTCAACTGGCGACAAAACCCGTTCTTTTCCCTTTACGTTGAAAATGCGCTTTTGCATCACACATTGGACGAAACGCCAGCGGTATGATGCACTCTTGATCTTCCTCCATAGAGCGCACAACAACAAGCTTGGCTAAATAAGTCCAGAATCAGACGACTTACAATAGTTATCTTTTGTTGTGTGTGCCTGTTCTTGACTACCACGGCTTGGTGTAACAAGACGCCCTGCGGGCACTTAATGCGACTGAATGTCGCGCTTGAGGATCTTGATATTCTGGGCATTTTAGAGTTGCCAGAGGCTTCACCTATTCAACCATCATATTGATGAGTTGCTTGCAGCCCCGGTTTGAGAGACCCAGCACGTAGCGGTTGAAAACAAAGGTCTTTTGCGACAGTCGATGCTCAGTTAATTGACCGTTAACTGATGACTGTCTTTTTTTCTTGCCCTCAGTTACATTGCACGTCTCGACCCAAGTGACCCAAATAACCGTTTAACTGTGGCTTCAACACGGTCAACGGAAGAGAACGGCGGGCGGTGAAACCGCACTTTATTTTCAATAATCTAGGTGTTGTAAATGGAGTTTGCAAAATCTGGGCAAGAGCTGCTGGTTAAACATAGTCTTCATAGAATTATCTGCATTCAGGTTTTGACTCCCAAAGGATGGGGGTTTTCACCGTAACAGTGTTCTACTTTCACCTTGGAGCACGGTTAGCGAAACCGTGACCTGGTATAAGTATAAAAAACTATTAATACGCAGCAAAATTAAGACTACTTAGCTAGTTAGCTCCCCTTGTTTTATTTCCTCTCTCCTTCACTTGTCTAAAAGTGACGCTTGAGGTATCTCTTTATTCGTGGAAGGGCTACTTAGAAATAGCTGCTGCGCTATACCCCCGATCGAGTCGACTTATTCCGAGCAAGAAAGCCAAGCGCCAAAAACAGTGTCGTCGTAAATCAACTCTGATGATAAAGGTATACAAGTATAGCAAGATGTGC